ACCCACACTCAGCGAACAACATTATTCAAATCCTATTTATGATTTTTTTCGTTTGTTCTTTTCTATGGATGACGACAATCATTTCATGTTAGTTCGTTACGTTCTTCTTTCTTGTTACTTGCTTAATTTACAGAGGTTTCGCTCGTTTGTTATCGTCAGTTTATCTGTAGCACTCGTGAAATAAAAACATAAATGAGATAAGAACAACTGGAAGTCAATAGCAACAAGCCAGAAAAAAAATAGTATTGAAATAAGAGAATAAACGATTATAAAGACACAGGGAGACGCCGTTTTAATTTTGCATTTATTCGTTGATTTATTCATCTATTGTTTATGGACAAAAACGGATTGAAAAAAACTGCTGCTAGTGGACAAGCAGCGATGGCCACCACCAATAGTAGTGCTGTATTGCCCGAAAGTATGCGTCCGATTCTGGAAAATTGCCTTCTGATCTGGCTTGATGCCGATTTCGATGAATCGAAAAATGATTATAAACAATCAATGGAACAGCTTCGAAATACCATATCAACAATTATAACATTTACAGATGCTGACCAATGTGTTGATTATCTCACTGATATCAAAGATGAAAAAGTGTTCCTGATTGTGTCTGGTTCACTGGGACAATACATAATATCAGAAATTCAAGCATGTCCACAACTGAACTCCGTATATGTTTTTTGTGACAATCAATCAATGCATGAGCATTGGGCAAAGATAATACCTAAGATAAAAGGCATTTACACACAAATTGAACCGATTTGTAAAGTATTACAAAGTGATCGTGAAAATTGTGATCGATCTATGATCTCGATGAGTTTTCGTGGCATCGATCCTTTGTTTATGTACACACAATTGCTTAAAGAAGCATTTTTGGAAATCGAAGATGATGATGCGACATCTATTAAAGAACTGGTTGATTATTGTCGTCTTCACAATGCTGCTTCTCCAGCTACACTGGAAAAGCTCGAACGAGAATATCGTCATCATCCACCAAGTTGGTGGTATACAGGTCCCTTCTTTATTTATTCTATGCTCAATCATGGTCTTCGACTTATGAATGTCGATGTTATAATGAAAATGGGCTTCTTTATTCGTCATTTACACAAACATATTGAAAAATTGCATGGCGAACAACAATCCAATGAGCCCACCAACAGACCATTCACAGTCTTTCGTGGACAAGGTTTGTCCATGGAAGACTTCAACAAAATGAAACAAACAAAAGGAGGACTTATGTCCTTCAATAACTTCCTTTCAACCAGTCGTCAACGAGACATTTCACTTGACTTTGCACGTCAGTCACTCGGCAATACTGATTCCATCGCCATACTCTTCGTTATGAATATTGATCCAATGGTATGTGTACAATCAAAAATTCCCTATGTTGACGTGAAAGGTGTTGGTTACTACGACAATAAAGAAGAAGAAGTACTTTTTACGACACATACGATCTTTCGTATCAATCAAATCAAGCGCATCGAAGACAAAGATACCGATCGCCTATGGCAAGTTAATCTCACCCTTACGGGTGACGATGATAATGAACTTCATGCACTTACGTCACACATAAGCAATGAAGTAAGTGGAGGAAAAGGATGGCCTCGACTGGGTAGAATATTGCTTAGACTAGGAGACTCTGCAAAAGCAGAACATCTGTATACGATTTTACTTGACAAGGCGTCTTCCGATTACGATCGTATGGAATACAATCACCAACTTGGTACGGTATATAATAACATGGGCGAGTACTCGAAAGCACTTTCATCGTACGAACGATCACTTGAAATCAAAAAAATAGTTCTCCCTCCGAATGATCTCGACTTTGCTGCTTCCTACAACAACATCGCTTTAGTGTATGGTAACATGGGCAAGTACTCGAAAGCACTTTCACTGTACGAACGATTACTTGAAATCCAAAAAATAGCTCTCCCTCCGAATCATCCCAACTTGGCTGGTTCCTACAACAACATCGGTATGGTGTATGGTAACATGGGCGAGTACTCGAAAGCACTTTTATCGTTTGAACGATCACTTGAAATCCAAAAAATAGCTCTCCCTCCAAATCATCCCAACTTGGCTGGTTCCTACAACAACATCGGTATGGTGTATGATGAAATAGGCGAGTACTCGAAAGCACTTTCATCGTATGAACGATCACTTGAAATCCAAAAAATAGCTCTCCCTCCGAATCATCCCGACTTGGCTACTTCCTACAACAACATCGGCAATGTGTATTATAGCATGGGCGAGTACTCGAAAGCACTTTCATCGTTTGAACGATTACTTGAAATCCAAAAAATAGCTCTCCCTCCGAATCATCCCAACTTGCCTTTTCCCTACAACAACATCGGTTCAGTGTATCATAAAATGGGCGAGTACTCCAAAGCACTTTCATCGTTTGAACGATCACTCGAAATCCAGAAAATAGTTCTCCCTCCAAATCATCCCGACTTCGCTGCTTCCTACAACAACGTCGGTATGGTGTATAATGACATGGGCGAGTACCCCAAAGCACTTTCATCATACGAACGATCACTTGAAATCCGAAAAATAGCTCTCCCTCCGAATCATCCCGACTTCGCTGCTTCCTACAACAACGTCGGTAATGTGTATATTAACATGGGCGAGCGCTCCAAAGCACTTTCATCATACGAACGATCACTTGAAATCCGAAAAATAGCTCTCACTCCGAATCATCCGGACTTGGCTAGTTCCTACAACAACATCGGTGGGGTGTATTATAACATGGGCGAGTACTCGAAAGCACTTTCATCGTTTGAACGATCACTTGAAATCAAAAAAATAGCTCTCCCTCCGAATCATACCGACTTGGCTACTTCCTACAACAACATCGGCAATGTGTATTATAGCATGGGCGAGTACTCGAAAGCACTTTCATCGTACGAACGATCACTTGAAATCAAAAAAATAGCTCTCCCTTCGAATCATCCCTCCTTGGCTGCTTCCTACAACAACGTCGGTAGGGTGTATAATAACATGGGCGAGTACTCGAAAGCACTTCAATATTATGAAAAAGCCGAAGATATCTTCCAAAAATCACTACCTTCAAATCATCCACATATTGCACTTGTGAAAAGAAACATTGAAATCGTAAAAAAGAAAATGTAATTGTTTTTTTCTTTTTAAACGAGAAAATAAATTGGCTTTCATGAACACGTTTGGCTCGCCAAGGCAAAGCAGCTGCAAAATTTCGCGCACGCGCGACCAGGAATACCCTCCGTATTCTGCTGGCTCGTACAGTGGACAAAGCCGACAATGATAAAGCAAACATACATTTATGTATGTATGACTAGCACCTCCATAATCAACGTCTTCGAAAAGACAATGACGAGATGGAAGCTGCTAGTCATACATACATAGATGTATGTTATGAAGGCCTACCAGCTGCACGCCTGCACGGGTCACCAAGAAAACGTCGGATATCCCTGGGAAGGTTCATTTGTTTTAGAGTCACCCCCGAAAGCTCCCTCTTGTTTAGAAAATTTTTTGTTCTTCTGTTACGAAGAACGAGAAGAAGCAAAAATGGAAAGAAGAAGGTATGAAGACGGAAAGACGTGAATGAAAGACGACGTCGACGTAACGGAATTATAAATACGCAGTGAATGAAAGCAGCCGGTGTTTTTGGGCGTACGTAAAGAAAATGAATGCACGATATCTTGTTCGTCCTTAAACATTTCATGTTGATTTTTCATCTCGAATGTGTTAGAACAACTCATATGTCGTGCGCTCGATATCGTGTCAAACAATTCATGATTGAGCGAAAGAAAAGGAAATAAAAAAAACAAAATAAAGATATATTATTTTAATTTGTTATCGTCTTATCTGTCAAGTGAAAATTTGTATAATTTTTTTTGATTCGTACAACGGCGAGGATGAATAATAATGTTTATTGAAGAGAACCTTCATAAGGAGAAAAAGTACCCCTTTTTTGTTTTTACATAATCTCGTTCTAGGTCTAAGCAAAAAGTGTACAAATAATTCGAGCTAAAAAAGAAAGAGATCACTAGGTTACCATAAAATGTTAAAATTCTCTATGAAGAAAACATATTATGTTTTGTATTTAGAAAACAATTCTTGATTGAGACAAATATATAAAATTATTTTAAATTGTAATCTCATCTCAAAATTTTTTCATTAGAGTAAAAGTGAATATATATTGAAATTGTTATTATTTATTCTTCTATTAATCAAAAATCTATTAAATCTATTATCTATTTTATACGAAATATAGTTAACAAATGTTATAGATTTTTATGCAGACATAACGGATGTCCCATAATAAATGGATCTTTCAGTATTTTGACTACAATTTTTTTTTGTTTTTAATCTTTAGAATTGATTGTTTCTCCAAAAGATGCGCTATGAAATTCTATATAAAATCATAATCAAATTTATTTCTGTACTAGTTTAAGAAAAGATTACAGGAAGATGATGATGTCAAGAATGTTTTTTAACAGCAAAGTATATTAAAAGACGCAGCGTGAAAAGCTCTACGAGTTACATCAAAAGCCTTAGTTTATATACGCACTCTTTGTTTTCAAAAGGGACAAAATTCTGTGCTACCAATTTTCAACACTGTGAACAAAATTGGCTTATGTTAGCACATAATTTTGCTTACTTTAAAAACAAAAGATGTAAATATATAAAACAAAATGTTGTAAATTGTGAAACTTTTCATGTTGTATCTTTTAGTAAAATTTGCTCTTAAAATAAACATACTTTCTTTTAAATGTGAACAAGCTTCTTGAGTGTGGATGGATGTGGATCTCATGGAATTTATCATTTATACTCGCTCTCATACTTACATCCAGAATAACTATAGAATGGAAGAGATAACGACACCAGCAGAATACTGGTTGATTACATTATTGTAATAAACTATTTGAAAAGTTGTTCCCTTGAAATGTGTAAAATTGTATCGATTATAACTCGAATTAATACTTGAAATTATTAGAGGAACTATGTTTTACAATTATTGACTTTTCGGTCTATGCATTACGACGAAATGTTAATCATCTAAAGTAGAAGAGCAGTTAATAAAACAAAAGTATTTTGAAATTCTTAATGAAATATAGACTAGTTGTCATATTTAGAGATTTTCAATAAACAACTAGAGACTTTCAATAAACAACTAGAGACTTTCAATAAACAACTAGAGACTATTTTCATCATAAAATTATCTTTTTTGATTGATGATAATTATTTCAAACATCAGTTTTTTCAGAAAAAGAATATGTAATTTCGAAGGTACACGAACTAAATATACGTGTGTATTTTAATTTAAAGTTTACGATGCCAAGAATTTTTCATATTGATTTGTATAAATATTCGTTCAATGTCAGTATTGGTACATCTTTTTTAATATTGAAATAGTTCATTTGCATTCAACATTCCATAATAGTTTTGTTTCGAGGCTATTCAAAACGTATCGATATATCTTATCAATAATGACCTCGTCTTTAATTGTATAAGAAGAAGTACAACGTCGATTTTATTAGATGACTCTCAGACAATCGATGATGAACACAAAGATGAAAAATTATCTGATCATAATAATGATAGTTCATTGCAAAAGTTAACATGACATTCGCTAAAGCAACTGGTATTGATAAAGCTAAGGAACATGCTCAATCAAATTTATTTTTGTTTTAGACAACATTCGAAAAATTGAAATGGAAAATATGCTAAAATTTTATTATGGAATACAGATACAATACATTGTGATGAAATTGAATTAAATGACTTAATTGAAAAACGAACATAAACTATGATGGAAATTTTACTTCGGTACGTACAATAAATAAAATTTAATTTGTCAATATTAGAGAAAAACCTGATATTATTTTTTTACAACAAGTTGAAACATTTACATTAACATTATATGATGATCAATCAATTCAAATTATGTATAAATATTTGCAGGAAAATCAACTATAAAAAAGAAGAGTGCATCAATATATTGAAAACAGAAATACGCTTAAAGTTGAAGCAAAAAGTTTGATGAATTGTGTTTTTCTTGTAATTCATAAAGAGTTTTATTTCTTTATAGCTTAAATATAAAAGTCCAATTAATATTGATCTATTTAATGCTTTTATTCATGAAAATACTTATAGATATTGTTTCGAACAGGTTGATAAGAATAATCCATATGTTTTGGAATTCTCATACAGTTAACCTTGATGATTTAAGACAAATGACAGATCAACGACCTGAGATAACATATGCATTTGATTCTAAATTAAATTAAAATATAACTGATAATTAATAAACCTCAACGTTATGATAGAATTTTTTTCGTTCATCTACATGAATGAATAATAAATTTAAACCTGTTCATATGGAATTAGAAGGCATTCAACATATTAAAACATCAAATGTTATTTTTTCATCTACTCATTGGACAATTCAAGGTTATTTTGATATTCAGAATTAATATAAATCGATTGACAAATTTCTATTGAAATAAATAAATTATTCATTGCAATGATTTTTTTATATTTCAAAACTAAATTACTATTTACAAATGTTATTTTGTCCTTTTCTACTGTATTTAAAACTTATAAAGTAGATGTTTCACATGGATTTATAATATTACTAGTGTTACTATACATACAAAATAATTTATAAACGTTATCCATCATACAACCTATAATTGACTTCTGTAATTATTTTTCAGTTTATCTTCATGGATACTGTTTTGAATAATAAATAACTCAGGAATCAATAATATAATAACATTACTAATTCAATATTCTATTGCAGTTTATATATAAGCTAGGGTTTAAACTCTAAAAGTATCAGCGAATTAAAAGATCATTTGCCTTTGACTATTTGTCTTTAAATATTAATTTTGCCATGTTATTCGATAATTTTTTTTATTATTAACATTAATAACAAATTTTTTATAGTTTTGCTCTTATATATTTTTATGTGGAAAATTTAATCTTCTTTGTTCATACAAAGTACTAATATCATGAATATGATTTAGATTTTGAAACCAATTTATCTTCATCAACAACTTTATTTATAGTTTCTGTCCATTCATAAAGGAGGCTCCTTCCCTCAGAAAATCCATTTCTCCGAACACAAGTTCAGATTGAAGTTTCATCATAGGAAGATGCACTGAAATCTTTTCTTTTAGAATAGATATGGCTTATCGCAAAATGAATTAAGTTTAACGAACTTATTGTCTCAAACTTGGCTCCTGCTATCATATTTTTCAAGAAATTTTCAAGGTGTTTTTACAAGTTTTTTCTTTATATCAATCACTGCGAGACTATTAATAATTAATACTAAGATCACATATAATTCAGATGTGATTCACAAAAAATTGATTTCTAAAATCTAATTAGCTTATTTTCTTAAAATAAGTTTTTTCAATAGTACTGTTTATGTAAGCAAATCTCTCTTGATAACTACTCAATATAAGAATGGTAGGTTTTTTTTATTATATAGCACAGCTACGGCTGGGTCGTAAAAGAGCCTGATTTTTGAATTTCTCCCTTGCTGAAATAAAAAAGCTTAGATCTTCGTTTTTCTTCACCAATTTTTGTGAAAAAAAAGTTGAAAATTTTTCGAAAAAGTTTTTTCAATATTAGGAGAGACATTAAAAAATCGGACTCTGTTACGACCTAGTGCCAATGATACTCGACAATTTAAAATCATTCCGACATGCTCAGCTCGTATCATCACTTTGAAAACCTTGTCCGCGTAAAGAGTATTTTAGACCAATGAATTGACTATAACGTGTCATTGTCTTACAGATTCAACAAAATATTTTGACCATCAGATATTCTAGCCAAGATTAGCATCCTCTGAATTTTGATTGAAATCAGATCACAAATATAAAAAAAGTAATCAGAAAATTTGATAATTTTTTCGATAATACTATTGAAAATAATTATGAATGATTGTCTGTTTTTTCCTGTTTCATAAAAAATTTAAAAATCTCTTCGTTTCATGTACATAACCAAACTGTTAACAAATAATTTGTTGCAAAAAGAAACGAAAAGAGATTTTTCGAGTTAAAAATTGATCACTGAATCGAAAGGCAATTTTTCATATGGTTCATATTGATCTAAGGACTCAAGAGAAGTTAATTCATTAT